TGGGGACATCCCAGGGAAGCCGGCAGACCGGCAACAGGGAACACCCGAGGGAAAAACAGGAAAGACGCAGAAGCACGCCCTGCCGGCCAGGCACGTGACGACCCGGCAAGGCATGCATGGGCCCCAAGGCGGGGCCCGCCATAGGGCCGCCCACGCCTGGCCACGTGTCGCCGCCGCCGAGAACATGCGCCCCGGGCGTAGGACCGAACCTGGCCACAATCCGTCGCCGACGGCGACACATGCCCTCGGACAAGGCGAAACCTGGCCCCCTGGGACACCCAGGGAACCCGTCGGGCCGGCGACAGGGAGCCCCGAAGGAAAGGCGGGAAGGACGCCGAAGCACGCCCAGACGACCCCAAGGCCAATTAAAAGGAGACGGCCCCAAGGCAGAGCACAAAGGGCGTAGGGCCCACCACGCCTGGCCACATGGCGACGCCGGCAAGGGCACGCCTGGCCGCCGACGGGGCCCCGGGCAGGGCGCGCGCCTGGGCACGCCGCGCGGCGGGGCCCCTTGGACACGGACGGGCACGGCTGGACGGGGCCCCACATGAGAGGGGACCGAACGCAGGCCACTAGGGACGCGGCCCGAGGCACGCCGACCCTAAGCCAGCCACGCGACCAGCACGGCACGGGGGCGCCCGGCACAGGCCCAAGGAGGGCGCCCCAGCTCTCCGGGAACAACAGCAGAGAGCCCAAAGGACTAACTAAGGCGGCACACACGTACCGCGAGGGGAAGGCGCTTGGCACACGCCGCACTGGGGAGGACCTGACTAGAATTGAACAGAAAACCTCACCTTGGGTTTAAAAGTGTAGGGCAGGAGGGCCCTGCCGGAACAGTCTGGGGTGTCGAGGGCCCCAGGATGTCCGTGAGAGAGAGGTCAGGTACCGAGGCAGCTGGCGTGTTGTCCATCTCGTGCGAAGTCGGGTGGCCGGGGAGTGGTTGCGAGGGCAGCGGCGAGGGCAGGCGGAGTGAGGGCAGGGCCCCATTGTGCGCCCGTATTTATACGGCCCCAAACTGCCCGCGCAACGCCGCGGGACGCGCTGCGCAATTGTTTTTTTCTCCCCCGCCAGAAAAATCCCCGCTTGCGTCAAGCAGTGACCATATATAAGACAGCAATGATCACAATGGTAAAGATGTTCAGAATGGGTACATAAAGATTGGGAGACTGGGTAGCAAAAGATACAGATAAACAAGATTTATAAACACCATACAACAGATTGGCAGCACATATAAGAAAACAGCAATGATCATAATGGTAAAGATGTTCAAATTGGGAACATAAAGGTTGGGAGATTGGGTAGCAATTGATACAGTGCAATTTTAAGGCAAAAAGTGAAAAACTATGAAGATGAAATTAGGTACTTTTTAGTATTGCTTTTGAATGATGTAAAAGTTGGACAGCTTTTCAATTCAGTTGGGAGTGAGTTCCATAAACTGGGTCCCTTTATTTGCATAGTGTTTACACAGATTATGTTTAACACTGGGCATATCAAATAGATATTTATTTCTGGTGTGGTGATAATGGGTCCTATTACATCTGTCCAGGTAGAGTTTCAGACAAAGATTTGCATTTAAGAACAGGGTTTTGTAAATGTAGTTGACACAAGAGAATTTTTGTGGAGTGAGATTATGTTTAGCATGTTTAGGGAGTTAAACAAGGGGGCTGTGTGTTGTCTGAAAGCAGAATTTGATATTATTCTGATAGCAGATTTTTGCTGGGTGATGATGGACTTGAGGTGGTTTGCAGTGGTTGAACCCCATGCACAGATACCATAGTTGAGATAGGGATAGATTAGTGCATAATATAGAGAGATGAGAGCAGAGTTAGTTACATAATATCTGATTTTGGAGAGTATACCAACTGTTTTAGAGACTTTCTTAGTTATGTGTTGTATGTGGGTACTGAAGTTGAGTCTCTTGTCTAGGAATATGCCAAGAAACTTTCCATCATTTTTATTGCTAATGTTTACATTGTCAATCTGAAGCTGAATTGCATTTGTAGATTTGCTTCCAAATAGGATGTAGTAGGTCTTTTCTATGTTAAGTGTTAGTCTGTTGGTTGACATCCATAAGTGGACTTTTTTTAGTTCATTATTAACAACATCATTTAGTGTATGTGGGTTGGGGTTGGAGTAGATGAGAGTAGTATCATCAGCAAACAAAATAGGTTTCAGAATGTTAGAGACATTAGGCAGATCATTAATGTATATAAGAAATAGAAGAGGTCCCAAGATGCTGCCCTATGGCAGCATTAAAGATTAAAGATTAAAAGATTAAAGATTAAAGATTAAAGATGGCAGATTAAAACAGTATTATTCATGGTATAGTTTGGTTATATTAAAACAGTATTATTCATGGTATAGTTTGGTTAGAATTAAAACTATTATTCTCAAAAGTAAAAATCAAAATTATTTGAGTATCCCACTAGAAATGGACACTGCTTTAACACTGCAACAGTATTATTAATTTTAAGTAAATACAAGACATAACTGAAAGCTGAACAATGTAATAAATTAATTTTAGAAAATCTTAAATAAATAATATAAATAACATAGCGTAGCCCACCAAAACGGACAGACCGCTCTACGACAGGGCTCCTACACATAAGGTAGTAGAACTGAATAGGGAGAACTGGAGGGAACATGTACATGTGGGAACAACATGGCGGCTACACCGGACGGACAAAATGTCTGGGTACGAACAAGCCGGGCTACACCGGTCAGACAAGACGTCTGGGACGAACAAGCTGGGCTACACCAGCCAGACAAACGTCTGGGTACGAACAAGCCGGGCTACACCGGCCAGACAAAACGTCTGGGTATGAACATGCCGGGCGACACCGGCCAGACAAAACGTCTGGGTACGAACAAGCCGGGCTACACCGGCCAGACAAAACGTCTGGGTACGAACTAGCAGGGCTACCCCGGACAGGCAAAACATCTGGGTACGAACAAGCCGGCTACACCGGTCAGACAAGACGTCTGGGAACAACGTGCTGAGACACAACGTCTGGGAACAAACGTGCCGGCAACACCGATCAGACGAAACGTCTGGGAACAAACATGCCTGGGTACACCGGACGGACCTGGCAGCCACCTGTAACATAGCAGAAAAGAACCCGGGAACCGAGGCTCTAGGGGCGGCGTAGGGCAAACAAGCCACTGCGTGCCTGGCCATTGCAGCTGTAGTGGCCCCCAGCCTGGGCCGGAGAGACAGCAGAAGCCGGGAAGGCTCTCGGCCCAACCCTGACGCAAAGGTAGCCCTTAGACAAGGAAGCCTCGAGGCCTGCCCACCGGGACACCATTGCCACATGGGCGTCTCCTGGACGTGAGGAAGGCGTGAGGAAGAGGGACAGGAAGGAAGCGAAACACAACCCAGGGCAAGCGCTCCATGGAGTGCCACGTGGGTGATGCCGACCTTGGCATGGGCCCCTAGGGTCGGGCCCTAGGGACAGAGACAACTAGTATAACCTGGCCACGAGGCGTCACCGCCAAGGGTGATGCCAGGCTGCTTCCAGGGAGCCCAGCCGGGCACGCACGACCGAGCGCGGCACGAACCGTGGCCCCTAGGGACAAGCCTAGGGGACACAGCATACTGTGTTCCAGGAAAGACGCCTGGGAGGGCAGGAAGGAAGCGAAGGGCACACCTGGGACGAGTGCTCCACCGAGCTCCAAGCCACGTGGGCGCCGCCTACTGGGTTTGGGCCCCTAGGGCCGGGCCCCAGGACCACTGAAACCTGGCCATGTGGCGTCGCCGCAGAGGGTGACGCTAGTCCGCCTGTAGGGAGCCTGGCCGGCCACGCACGACTGAGCGCGGCATGAACTATGGCCCCTAGGGACAAGCCTAGGAGACACAGCATACCAGGCTCCAGAAAGGACGCCTAAGAGGGCAGGAAGGAAGCAAGGGACACACCTGGGACGAGTACTCCACCGAGCTCCAAGCCACGTGGGTGCCGCCTACCGGGCTTAATTGGGCCCCTAGGGCCGGGCCCCAGGGGCACAGGACCACTGAAACCTGGCCACGTGGCGTCGCCACAGAGGGTGACGCCAGGCCACTTGTAGGGAGCCTGGCCGAGCACCCACGGCCGGGCGCGGCACAAACAGGGCCCCTAGGGGCACGCCTAGGGAACACGACAGACTGGTGCCCCTAGTGCACGTCTGGGAGGAAGCACTACCTGGCGTGGCCCGCACAGGCACGGCGCAGAATACACGCCGGCCCGGGCGTTGTGGCAGCAGCAAACATCAGCACCAGTCCCGACCTGAAGGGCGCACCTGCATACCCCAGACAGGCAAACAGGCGGAAGGCCCTAAAGAACTAGCTAAGGCGGCACGTACGGACCGCGAGGGACGGCGCTGGGCACATGCCGGCACTGGGGACAGACCTGACTAAACTTGAACAGAAAATCTCTCTTTGCCTTAAGGTTGGCTGAGTAGGGCAGGGGGCCCCTGCCGTACCAGCCTGGGAGGTCGAAGGCCCAGTAGGATCAGGGAGCGTCAGATCTGGGACCGTTGTAGCGGGCATGAGATCCATTGCATGAGATGTCCCTTGTACACCGTAAAGCAGACTGGAGATGCAGGATAGAGTACTGACCCAAGTGTCGTTGAGGCGCGGCGCGGTGCAGTTCGTGGAGCTTCGTGAGTCGCGGACCATGGCGGGAATGGAGTGAGGGCGAGACCTCTTCTCCCACGCTATTTATGCCACCCAGACTGGCTGCACCGCACCTTGCGGAACGCGCTGCGCCATTGTCTCTTCCTTCCCGATTAGAAACTCCACCGCCTTTCGTGCCGAAAGGCAGTGTCCATTTCTCATCTGTTTTTTAAGAGTTAAATGTATCTATTTTTGTGATTCTGTACTTTAAATTGTATCATATCCTACTGGTTATAATCCCTCAGACCACTCTTTTAGGTCATAGTCACCAGGAATTCTGTTATCTTCACATACTCCCACTTCCTGTCTACCTGTCCCCTATAATATTAACTGTGAGTGTTCTGTCCGGCAGTACGTGCCCCCCAAGCCTGGCCAGAACGGATGGAGGGCACCCAAAAAGAGTGATGTTATATCGTCCATCCCGCCGCCCAGCTCTGGTCCAACGCCCACGCCACAACCTCTGGGAGCGAGGGAGCTCAGCCCCCCTCTCGCCACCCGTCACGGCAGCCCTCCCAGGTCCTATGGGCGTCACGGCAGCCCTCCCAGGTCCTATGGCCGCCATGGAAGCCCTCCCAGGTCATATGGCCGCCACGGCAGCCCTCCTCTGCCCTCAGGTACCCACAATCATAACGTGCCAGAAGTTTGCATTTTATATGATTGAGTTATATGTTTTCTTTAAATTAAGTAGTAATAGTCCACTTAAACTCTAAGTATATCAACAGTTTGATATATTATTATATGATATTCAGCCTTATAGTTTGATAAAAATATAAATGGTCGATAAACCATTGACACATTTTACACTACTAATGTGCGGTAGAGTGTCAGTGGTTGGTGAGTTCTCCAACACATTGGGTGTAGCATGAGCACTGATCACAGGGTTACAGCGCACACTTATGGGGGTGTGTGCACCCATAAGTGTTCCTTAGTGTGACGTAGTACAGGTAGTGTTCCTTAGTGTGACGTAGTACAGGTAGTGTTCCTTAGTGTGACGTAGTACAGGTAGTGTTCCTTAGTGTGACCTGGTACAGGTAGTGTTCCTTAGTGTGCTGTAGCACAGGTAGTGTTCCTTAATGTGCTGTAGCACAGGTAGTGTTCCTTAGTGTGTCGTAGTACAGGTAGTGTTCCTTAGTGTGTCGTAGTACAGGTAGTGTTCCTTAGTGTGTCGTAGTACAGGTAGTGTTCCTTAGTGTGTCGTAGTACAGGTAGTGTTCCTTAGTGTGACGTAGTACAGGTAGTGTTCCTTAGTATGACCTGGTACAGGTAGTGTTCCTTAGTGGAGGAGGAGGCCTGGTCGACGACCGGGCCGCGGGGACACTAAGCCCCGGAAGCACCTCAAGGTAGGTAGTGTGACCTGGTACAGGTAGTGTTCCTTAGTGTGTCGTAGTACAGGTAGTGTTCCTTAGTATGACCTGGTACAGGTAGTGTTCAGCCTACCCATGCAGGTCATGAAGGCCAAAACATGGCTGCAGTTCAAAATCAAGATCGATAAAATTGTCAGGATAAATGAGGGGTGGGGGGACGTTTGACAAGCTGCTGGCTTTCTGTCTTCACAGAGGCCACTAGATAATGGCTCTCAGGTAAATTCGAGTATGACGTAGTACAGGTAATTTCCTTTTATTTTGGAGTAATCGAGACATTAATTATTAGTATGCAGTGGAGGTGGCACTTCTCAGTATGAGGTAGAGCTATTTATATTATCTTACCCCAGCATGAGGTATTTTGTTTAATGCTGTTCAGTATGAAGCAGTAGTGGAGGTAACAGTGATCAGTATGAAGCAGTAGTGGAGGTAACAGTATTTAGTATTAGACAGTAGTGGAGGTAACAGTGTTCAGTATGAGGCAGTAGTTGAGGTAACAGTGATCAGTATGAGGCAGTAGTGGAAGTAAGAGGGCTCAGTATGAGGCAGTAGTGGAAGTAAGAGGGCTCAGTATGAGGCAGTAGTGGACGTAAGAGGGCTCAGTATGAGGCAGTAGTGGAAGTAAGAGGGCTCAGTATGAGGCAGTAGCAGAAGTAAGAGGGCTCAGTATGAGGCAGTAGTGGAAGTAAGAGGGCTCAGTATGAGGCAGTAGCGGAAGTAAGAGGGCTCAGTATGAGGCAGTAGCGGAAGTAAGAGGGCTCAGTATGAGGCAGTAGCGGAAGTAAGAGGGCTCAGTATGAGGCAGTAGAGATAACAGCTAGTATACCCCCCAGGGCGCCACCCCAGCCCCCCACCCACCACCTCCTCCAGGAGAACATCGGTGTCGTCCGGGGCCTCGTGCGGGGTGCCCCCTGGCCGGCCGGGCACCATGTCGCTGGGGCGGGCCGCTGGCAAGCACCTCTCTTCGATGCTCAAATCAGGTGAAGATCCCTAATGAGAGTGTAGTTTTGTTCTTAATCCTTACCAGTATTACAATCTTACCAATGTAATATATTTCTCGCCCATTGATTATTGAAGGTGTGTGGTGCTAATCTCGGCTTGAAGATGGGTCTTCATGAGAATTAGGTGCTAATAGCCTAATGAGCCTAGCAAAACAGTGATATTACTACAATTGTCAGAAAGAAAGGTTGATGAGGTGGATCTGACCTAATCTATCGTGTGACCCTGACCTGGTCTAACATGTATGGCTGAGGACACAGGCTAAGAAAAACTTTAAGTGTTCAATATCTATTAATAGATTCCTTTTTATGTATTAAAATTTTAATATAATATTTTGTTCTTGCAAGCTCCCCCCACTGAAGAAGAGTCAGGTAAGACAATGCTAATTTTGACAGTACAGTATGTTTCACATTAATTTTAACTACATGTCCAGAACTGTATGCAGGGTTTGCGGGGATGGCAGGTATTTGAAACTTTTTTTTGGAGTTGTTCACCGTGTGAAACCCTTGAGACGTCTTTGATCCCAAAATGCATACCAAAATTCCCATTGCTGGTGGGAATTTTTGAACATTTATGAATTTTTTTTATAGAATATTTCTAGCTTTAATAATTCATGGTTTTCTGGTCTCTATTTACAATAAACCTTAACAATATAACACTTGCTCCAAAGGTTTGTTATTGATAACATGGTAATAGATAACTTGTTTTGTAAGTATGAATTTTGTAACTAGCTCATCAAGATTGTAACTTGCTTAGCTAAATGAATTGTGGGGGTTCAGTCCCTAAGCCCATTATGTGCCTCTATAACCTTTTCCACTGCCACCAGCAAGATTGGCATGAGGTGCATAATAAATGAACTAAACTAACTTGTTTTGTAAAAAGCATGATATCTGAATTTACACAATTACTTTACATTAATGTACTTGTACCGTCTACAGTGACGGGGTGCAGCTCAGGATATGGGTCTTCCTCTGGATATGGTCACTCTTCTGGCTATGGACAGTCGTCTGGATATGGACAGTCTTCCGGGTATGGGCAGTCTGGGTATGGACAGTCATCTGGATACGGACAGTCTGCAGGATACGGGTTATCTAGGATGCAGGTGGGTCGGTCATCCTTCACTTCAGGCAGCAACTCTCCGCTGGCCCACCAGAGACCCATGAGGTCCTCCTTGCGGCGGACCTCGTCCAACACCCCCATGGCTCGGCACCGTGACCTCGCCTCCGACATGATGGCCAGGTATAACACTCTCTACATACTTACTCATGTCAAGTGTACCTCACATGTATATATATGTATTTATGTTATATATATATAGTCTAAGTCAGGAGTCAGTCCTCCTTCTGAAGATGTATTAATATACGAAAGTACTTAAGGAAATTCCTGTTTCAATTTTCCTCCGTGCTCTGACACTGTCACATTTTTAATCACGTGTTTATTTTCCTGACACACACACACACACACACAATATATATATATAATATATATATTATATATATATATATATATATATATATATATATATATATATATATATATATATATATATATATATATATATATATATATATATATATAATATATGTGTGTGTGTGTAAATAAAAAAAATTAACACGTGATGAAAAATGTGACAGTGTCAGATCACGGAGGAAGAATTGAAACAGAAATTTCCTGAAGTACTTTAGTATATTAATACATCTTCAGAAGGAAGCATTCCTTCTGAAGATGTATTATTATACAATATTCAAGTTTTCCTGATTTTATATATTTTTCTAAATTGTATCTTTTGAAATGATAAAGCTATCCATTTCATTATGTATGAATTAATTTAGCTTAATTTGAATTAAAACTAATGTAGATATATGACCGAACCTAACCTACCCTACTTAACCTAACCTATCTTAACCTAACCTAAACTAACATAACTAAGTCAATAATTTATGTTTCTAATATAATATAATAATAATAATTCAAATAAACCAATTGGAAAAATTTTGTTGAAAATAAAAAATTCACTCGGCCTATTAGGCAAATTGGGCCTTGCATAGTAGGCCGAGAAGTGAGTTCTGGCTACTAGGTACGATATATATATATATATATATATATATATATATATATATATATATATATATATATATATATATATATATATATATATATATATATATGACAGTGTTCAGACCATAGAGGAAAATTGAAACAGGAATTTCCTTAAGTACTTTCGTATATTAATACATCTTCAGTAGGAGTCAGTCCTCCTTCTGAAGATGTATTAATACCTTCTCACTTAACTTGTTCCAACCGTCTACCACTCTATTTGCGAAGGTGAATTTTCTTATATTTCTTCGGCATCTGTGTTTAGCTAGTTTAAATCTATGACCTCTTGTTCTTGAAGTTCCAGGTCTCATGAAATCTTCCCTGTCGATTTTATCAATTCCTGTTACTATTTTGTACGTAGTGATCATATCACCTCTTTTTCTTCTGTCTTCTAGTTTTGGCATATTTAATGCTTCTAACCTCTCCTCGTAGCTCTTGCCCTTCAGTTCTGGGAGCCACTTGTGTTTACTAGTTGTGTTTTTACGGGGGTTGAGCTTTGCTCTTTCGGCCCGCCTCTCAACTGTCAATCAACTGTTTACTACTTTTTTTTTTTTTTTTTTTTTTTTTTTTCCACACCACACACACACACCCCAGGAAGCAGCCCGTGACAGCTGACTAACTCCCAGGTACCTATTTACTGCTAGGTAACAGGGGCATTCAGGGTGAAAGAAACTTTGCCCATTTGTTTCTGCCTCGTGCGGGAATCGAACCCGCGCCACAGAATTACGAATCCTGCGCGCTATCCACCAGGCTACGAGGCCCCTTGTGTGTGTGTGTGTGTGTGTGTGTCAGGAAAATAAACACGTGATTAAAAATGTGACAGTGTCAGACCACGGAGGAAAATTGAAACAGGAATTTCCTTAAGTACTTTCGTATATTAATACATCTTCAGAAGGAGTCAGTCCTCCTCAGTCCACCTTTTATTGACTGCACTCAGCATACCAGCTTAGTGGTTCGCTATGGTGAACACAAATGTAGATACTTATATATAACGTGTGTATAGAGGGTATAAACAGCAAGAGAAGGTTTGGAGCCGCCATTTTGCTGAGGGCGGTGGCGTCGTCTGCACGACGCCACCGTGCAGACGACGGTGTCGGTCCGTCTAATTACCACAAGTTACACAAGCTTCAGAAAGCTTCCTGGCAATACGTTAGTAATGAATAAATATGATATATTTACTCATTATAATGTTGGTGCTGAATGTACAACACGAAAAAACATAATTTTAATCTGAAAAAGTATCTTTTTATAAAGAAATTAGGTGAAAATAAAAAGCTGGTGACGCCAAATCAAGTCGACGATCCAAGCGTCGGTTAGGTTAGGTTAGGTTTGGTTTGGTTAAGTTAGGTTAGGTTAGGTTAGGTTAGGATAGGTTAGGATAGGTTAGGTTAGGTTAGGTTAGGTTAGGTTAGGTTAGCCTAACCTAACATATCATATTTATTCATTACTAACGTATTGCCAGGAAGCTTTCTGAAGCTTGTGTAGCTTGTGTAGCTTGTGGTAGCTTGTGGTAATTAGACGGACCGGACGGTGTTGTTTACTGGTTACCACGATGGTCTTTGGGCACCATACCAGTTTATTTGTACAAGTATGGTGAATAAAACAGGTAGATATTTATATATAATGTGTGTATATAGCGTAATAACACCACACAGTATTGTTGGAGGAGAAATATTAGTGCGTCTGGCCTTGAGGGCGGCCGCCGATCAACTGACTGTGTGAGTAGCCACATCTTTGTGCCTTTACTCACCATACAAGCTTAGATGTACAGTTATGGTGAACAAAACATGTAGATACTTATATATAACATCTGTATATAATGAATTATAGAAAAAACATTATTGTGGGAGGAGAATGTGGGTGAGTCAGATGACTGAAGGGAGGGCGGGAGTGGCTGGCTGGTAAACGGCGGTCACTCCTCGTTACTTTTTGACTCATAATAGCTACTTAGTGGTTCGTTATAGTGAACAAAACATGCAGATACTTATATATAACCTGTGCTTATAATGTAATAACCGACAAAGTATTTGTTCACTGTTTGATGAACATAATTGAATCAACAATATGCACACCATATTTTTGAGTACAGCAATGATTCACTCATTTTATTATATAAATATATTAAACTACACACTATTGAATAATATTACAGCAAAAAAAGTATGAAAAATCAATCAGAGACATTGAAATAATTCGGTAATTATCTCTTTGTGGCAACTCCGGCCTGACAGCTTGCGAGCAACAGACCACCTGGGACACACGCTGAGTCAGCGCCTATAATTTGCCAGACTTCCCCGCCCTATAGTGGGCAATATATGCCACTTACGATTTTTTTATTATTTTTCCCGTGATCAGTGAACACAAATTAACAGGTTAGGAAGAAAAAATAATATTTTTTTTTCAAAATGACATGCGCCTGTGGGGATGACAGGATATTAAACCCCGAGCATGTTAAGGGTTAAGGATCTTCCCAAAACGCTATGCATGCTAGTGGCTTTACAAGAATGTAAAAAAATCAAATCTCTGTACTCTCATGAACCCAATGTACCTTCTTATATATAAACAAATAAATAAATAAATAAATAAATAAATAATTAAAGGAAAACAGCTAAATTATTACCGAAGAACTGCGTTATGAAAAAGATAATATGGAACACGCTCCCCCATTCATCCTCCCGGGGAGGGGGGAGCTGCGGAGACAATGGCACGGCGGCTGTGGTGACATCATGCTTGTTTGCTTGTTTTCTGATTGGGGAGTTCTGCCTACTCATTCAGCTTTTGGTTTACAATTTTGAACCAGCTTTAGTTTGTTTTGGGTTTCCTACCTGTCAGGGTGCCTGAACTGGTAGATGGCAGACATAGACTGCTTCTGACTACATGGGAGTGTCTATAGGCCATTGCTCCTCGTGCCTCTCTGAGGGGGGCCAGGTTCTGGCTCGTGGTCTCTGGTTGGCCAAGAACTCCATCAATTGACTGTTGCCATGGTCTAAAATATACACATCAGCCTGGTATAGCTCCGGGGAGACTCCGGGTCTCACCTAGAAAATGGTGTTTCAATACATTCAACGCTGGTTTATTGAATCTTCATTTATAAAAATTGGTGAATTAGATAATATTAATGTAAGTCCAGGATTATATAAATTAGATAGCTTTCGATTATATAAATTAGATAGTTTTCAATTATATAAATTTGATAGCTTTAAATTATGTAAATTAGATAGCTTTATAACTGGTAAGATTTGTGATTAAAATTAGATAAAGAATAAAATTATGTGGTTTAAAATTATGTGGTTTAAAATTATGTAAAGTATAAGTGTATGTATAGAACATTCCAAGAATGGAGGAATAACTAGTTAATCATCCCATCTTCATGGCACGTCCATTAATTGATATTTTGGTTTATGGATCTTTATCTACTCAGGTGTAATGGGTCTAATTACCGCAAGCTACCACAAGCTACACAAGCTTTACAAAGCTTCCTGGCAATATGTTAGTAATGAATAAATATGATATATTTACTCATTATAATGTTGGTGCTGAATGTACAACACAAAAAAACATAATTTTAATCTGAAAAGGTATTTTTTTATAAAGAAATTAGACGAAAATAAAGAGCTGGTGACGCCAAATCAAGTCGACGATCCAAACGTTGGTTAGGTTAGGTTAGGTTAGGTTAGGTTAGGTCAACCTAACCTAACATATCATATTTATTCATTACTAACGTATTGCCAGGAAGCTTTGTAAAGCTTGTGTAGCTTGTGGTAGCTTGCGGTACTTAGACGGACCCGTAGTGGGGTATATAATCCCAAACCCTTGTCTTCTCTGTCTGTATTCTTGGAAAATATGGTGATACACAAAAACATTCAGAATTTTCATCCTTTTCCTAGTGGATACTTATGCATATATATACATAGATTGATATTTAATTGCCATAGTGAAGTACATCATTCATACACAGCTTTCTGTATCCTCTGCTGTGGAGGAGACTGGGTATTCATCTCTGCCTCCTCTATGCGACTGTGGAGGAGACTGGGAAGCCATCTCCACTTCCTCTATGATTCTGTGTAGGAGACTGGGAAGTTGTTTTTGAATCCTCTAGATACTGATGAGGAGAGAGGGTATATAAAACATAAAGCTTCTCACCAGAATACAGAAAAGGCCATCAGCAATACATTTATGCCATATCTATTTACAAACAATTATTTGGATGTATCTTAACTCATACTTAGCTTATAGCTTAGAGGATGTATCTTATTATTATTATTATTATTATTATTATTATTATTATAAAAGTCATACAGCTGAAATATGTATAATTTTCAGTGTATGTATTAGTGGAAGTCCCAAGCGAGGGGAACCAGAGGGCGACGAGGCCGGAGAGTCTCCTCTCGATTACTCTCTTGCTCAACAAGAAAGTTATTCCAAGTACGTACATTTATTGTTTTCTCTTTTTTTTTTATTCATCATTCATTTCATCTCTTCATATTTTTCATTCAAAACTTTTCTTTTGTTACTATCACTATTTCAGTGTTGCTATCTTAAAATGATATAATGACAATGAACTAATTCTAACTACAACACACAACACAACATCACACAACCACCACCACCACCACCACCACCACCGCCGCCGCCACCGCCACCGCCACCACCACCATCACCACCACCACCACCACCACCACCACCACCACCACCACCACCACCGCCACCACCACCACCACCACTGCCACCACCACCACCACAACCACCACCACCACCACCACCACCACCACCACCACCACCACCACCACCACTGCTGCTGCACACCAGCAAGTCAACCACAGCAGCAGCACCATACTGCTTCAAGAGACTAAGTGTTTAATATTTCTCACAATACAAATTGCACAGTAATCCTCAAGAGAGAAGATGTACAGTACTCCTCACAAGACAAGGTGTACAGTACTCCTCACAAGACAAGGTGTACAGTACTCCTCACAAGAGAAGGTGTACAGTACTCCTCACAAGACAGGGTGTACAGTACTCCTCACAAGAGAAGGTTTACAGTACTCCTCACAAGACAGGGTGTACAGTACTCCTCACAAGAAAAGGTGTACAGTACTCCTTACAAGACAGGGTATACAGTACTTCTCACGAGACAAGGTGCACAATACTCTTTTTTTTTATATATATACAAGAGTTGTTACATTCTTGTACAGCCACTAGTACGCGTAGCGTTTTGGGCAGGTCCCTGGAATACGATCGCCTGCCGCGAAGAATTGTTGTTACAACCAAGTACACATTTTACTGTTGAGTTAAACAGAGGCTACAGTTAAGGATTTGTGCCCAGTAAATCCTCCCCGGCCAGGATACGAACCCATGACATAGCGCTCGTGGAACGCCAGGCGAGTGTCTTACCACTGCACCACGGAGACTGGTCCGAGACTTGTCCTCACAAGACAAGGTGCGCAGTACTCCTCACAAGACAAGTGTACAGTACTCCTCATAAGACAAGGTACACAGCACTCCTCCTCACAAGACAAGGTGCACAGTACTCCTCATAAGACAAGGTGTACAGTACTCCTCCTCATAAGTCAAGGTGCACAGTACTCCTCCTCACAAGGCAAGGTGTACAGTACTCCTCACAAGACAAGGTGCACAGTACTCCTCACAAGACAAGGTGCACAGTACTCCTCACAAGACAGGGTATACAGTACTTCTCACAAGACAGGGTGTACAATACTCCTCACAAGACAAGGTGTACAGTACTCCTCACAAGTCAAGGTGTACAGTACTCCTCACAAGACAAAGTATACAGTACTCCTCACAAGACAGGGTGTACAATACTCCTCACAAGACAAAGTGTACAGTACTTCTCACAAGTCAAGGTGTACAGTACTCCTCACAAGACAAAGTATACAGTACTCCTCACAAGACAGGGTGTACAATACTCCTCCTCATAAGTCAAGGTGCACAGTACTCCTCCTCACAAGGCAAGGTGTACAGTACTCCTCACAAGACAAGGTGCACAGTACTCCTCACAAGACAAGGTGCACAGTACTCCTCACAAGACAGGGTATACAGTACTTCTCACAAGACAGGGTGTACAATACTCCTCACAAGACAAGGCGCACAGTACTTCTCACAAGACAGGGTATACAGTACTTCTCACAAGACAAGGTGTACAGTACTCCTCACAAGAGAAGGTGTACAATACTCCTCACAAGACAAGGTGTACAGTACTCCTCACAAGTCAAGGTGTACAGTACTCCTCACAAGACAAAGTATACAGTACTCCTCACAAGACAGGGTGTACAATACTCCTCACAAGACAAAGTGTACAGTACTTCTCACAAGACAGGGTGTACAGTACTCCTCACAAGTCAAGGTGTACAGTACTCCTCGCAAGACAAAGTGTACAGTACTCCTCACAAGACAAGGTGTACAGTACTCCTCACAAGACAAAGTGTACAGTACTCTTCACAAGACAGGGTGTACAGTACTCCTCACAAGACAAAGTGTACAGTACTTCTCACAAGACAGGGTGTACAATACTCCTCACAAAACAAAGTGTACAGTACTTCTCACAAGACAGGGTGCGCAGTACTTCTCACAAGACAGGGTGTACAATACTCCTCACAAGACAAGGTGTACAGTACTCCTCACAAGACAGGGTGTACAGTACTTCTCACAAGACAAGGTGTATAGTACTGCTCACAAGACAGGGTGTACAGTACTCCTCACAAGACAAGGTGTACAGTACAGTGATTAAGTGGTACATTCTTGCAAAGCCACTGACATGCATAGTGATTTCTTCAGGTCCTTAAGCTAAACACCAAATTCTCAATACATTAAAAAAAATAGGTGAAAAATCTCTCTTGAATAAAAATAAATATATACTTAATGACAGATCTATAATGACAGAATGTGAATTCACATAATTACTATATCAATATAAAGTGAAGGTAAAAAATTTATACTGATATAGTTGCATTTCTAGACTGTAAAATTCTGTGTGAGTTAGTAGCACAAGGTGGGATAATTTGGCAAAAATATTAGGTACTTCATTGTTCTTCATTTGAATAAAGTATAGGTTGGACAATATTGTGCTTCATTGGGAAGGGAGTTTCATATTCTGATTTCTTTTATTTGCATGTGTTTGTCATTGTTAAAGGTTGTTTATGTCTTGTTTGACTTTTCTTAAGATATATCTATCAGTATGAAGATTTTGAACTTCACAATAAAATACAGTCTGTTTAAAATTACATCTATTTTAATTAGACTAGTGTAATCTTCATTATAATATACTTCTATATAATGATTATGAAAATCTATACAATTTCTTGATCAATATTTTGAGGAACGTCAGTCTTCATTTCCCCAGATATTTAAGTGCATATATTAATGTTTATGTGTCTACATTTGTAAATACTGTACTGTAATAACTAACATTATAGAATTAAACTACTTTGTGGAGTAACTTGTGCATGCTATGTGTTTTGGCTTCAAGAATTAATCCTTATTAACTTATAATGTAATAATATTTCATGCTGATAATTTACCTGATAAGGTATAATATGATAAATGATACTAATTATATATATAATAAAATAGATTAATTATACTGTAGGGTATACAATAAGGAGTGACAAAATATTTAATATATAGAAAATGGCTTGTTGCGCTTCACTGGTGCATGTCCTCGTTTCATCCTGTAGAGTACAAAATAAACACACATTCTCTTGCATGGAGATTTACAATCAGGATGATAAACTAATAATCATAAATAAAAATGTCCACTGTTATGCAACACATGAACAAAGGAGGAGCTGGATAATAAATGAAAGGGCCTCATAACAATAACAAGAAAGATTATAGGAAGAGGGCATTATCAGGGGGAACGTACCAAGCCATTACGATTATATAGCACTGAGAAGAGGTCAGGATATGGATTTGGGATAGGAGGGGGGGGGGCAGTTGGGGAGAGGGAGGGAGAGGAATGGTGCTCAACCACTTGGACGGTCGGAGATTGAACGCTGACCTGCATGAAGTGAGAACAGAGTAATTTTTAAATTGTAGATTCGTAAACCTCATCCTGGAAACATTCATGCATCAACACATTAAACAAGCAACAAGGGTGAGGGAAGGGGATGTTCCCTCCATGCTAGATTTGAATTTCACCAGGAAAGAGGAAGAGATATTTGACATTCAGTACCTTCCTTCCTTGAGTAAACGTGACCATGTCCTTTTGGGAATAAAGTATGCAATGCATTATAATCTGGAAGAGAATGAGGAAGTTGGAACAATTGAAAAACCTGATTTCAGGAGAGGACATTATGTGGAACTTAGAAATTTCTTTTAAGGAATTTGACTGAAAAGACTTGCTGTTAGGCAAAGAAGTAAATGAGATATATGTCAAGTTTTGTGAAAGACATGATAGAGACAACATTTTTGTATACAAAACAGACATGCAGAACTAGGAAACAGGATTGGTTCAACAGAAATTGCGAGAGAGCCAGAGACCAAAAGACACAAAAAACCAGCATTGAATGTAATGAAATGCCATTTTCTGGGTGAGTTCCGGAGGCTTCCAGGAGCTATCCAGGCTAATACGGATATGGATAACTTCTGTCATCAGTCAATGTGCTTGGAGTTCTTGGCTACCGGGCACCACGGCCAGAACCTGGCCCCCTTCAGAAAGGTATGAGGAGCAATGGCCTATAGAAACCCCCATGTGGTTGGGAGCATTCTATGTCTGCCATCAACGGGTCTGGCATCCAGAAAGGTAGGCGTGCCAAAACAAAACCCCTATTCTGGTTAAAAATTGCTATCGAAAGTCTAACGAGTGGACAAAACTCCCCAAACGAAAATTTGCAAACAAGCATGATGTCATCACGCCACTGCACCACTGTCTGCGCAACTCTCCCCTTCCCGGAAGAGGGAAGGGGGGCTCCCAGACCTTCGCTCCAGCGATTCACCCACTAGCTCTTAGGCTGGATGTCAAAACTCGCAAAAAACACTGTTGACTGGAGGGTAGGGGGGATGCCGGGGAGCCTCCGGGACTCACCCAGAAAATGGCATTTCTTTACAATCAATGCTGGTTTTCTGGGGGGAGCCCCATCGGCTCCCCGGAGCTACCTCACCAAAGATAAAGAAAAGAGGAAAAAATCCGGGAGGGCAGATTCCATGCGCTCGAAGACAAAAAAAGACAACCGGCAAACCCAAAGGACCTTGCGGACGATCCGAGAGACTCGAATCCCGTAACAGGAAGGAGGAAAGGGAACCCAGTCAACCCAAAGCGTGGCCACGGGCAGAGAGATCAAGACGCGGAGAGCCACAACCAAACGACACACGATGCACCCCTGGCCTGACTAACCAAGCATCAATAACCCAAGGAACCCTCTGGAAAGCAGCAGATTCATACATCGCTAGAACAGAAGGAGACGGCT